AATTATAAGTTCCTTCACTCTGCCTTTACTGACATATTACGATCGTGCGTATCAATCATAAGGGACCTTTCGAATTGAGATGAAAATAAAACGTAGGCAGAGCAGAAGAAGCAAAACTGAGGGCTGCATTCATTATCATTCCTTGAACAGCATTCTTCACTTGGAGAGGCATGGCTTAAATTATGCTTAAGGTGGATTTAAAAGGTCCGAAGGAATCAGAAAAATTGTAATTTTGACGAAATTGAAGAATCCGTAAAATTTAATGAATTCAATTTAAAAATGCATCTGTGAACGGAGTTCAATAATTTTCGTTGGGAAGAGTTAAAAAAATAATATCAGGGCAAGGGAGAAAAATCGGAATGGAAAAATTATATCACTGCAGCGAAAAAGTAGATTCTCTTTGCTTTTAAATGCCGTTCAAAATGATATGTACCTACTTATCTTTTGTATTTTTCATGTACGGTAAGTGACTAGGTACGATTCTCTGTAAAGATCCATTTAAAGTCATTTCATTAGGCAAGTTCGACGAAATCATCCTTTCTCTTAAAATTCTGCGTGAGGCGTGAGGCCTTTTAAAACTCCAGAACTTAGTCCAGGTAACTGAAAGTTTCAGTTACACCCCAAGCAAAACTTTAACGGGCTACATAAATTGAACTTCAATTTTTTTTTCAATTTTTCATTTTGTTTCTCTCCGTGTGGGTTATCATTTTTAATCAATAGCATTCCAACTCGTGTACAAATCACCTTTTTATCCAGGTTTCTTATCAACCTCTGCAAGGTCGTTGACAAAATTGTGTTTCTCATATTGCAGTCTCCTGACCCAAAGACACGCAGCCCTTTCCGAAATGAGCCGCGATTTATAGCATGCGTTTCGATCGTTAAGACGCTGACATAAAACTTCGCCGAGCTTAACTTTTCAGAGCTTCGTGAGTCATTCCCTTCCAAAAATAACAAAAATTTAACATATTAACGTTTAAAAACCGATGATAAGCGTAGGGCCGGTCTCTGAATCGCTGTACAATGGAACCAACAATTTTCTCCGAAAACCCATTCTTCATTGGCGCTGTGCTTTTCCTTAGTAGGGCAGCGACGGGGATTGAAAGCAGGCAAAATCTGCGGATATTATCACGGCCATAAAATATACATGCTGGACTCGATTTTTCTTATTTTCAAGTGTATCGAGCAGTTGGCGAAGATTCCACGGTGTCTAGGACCGGGAAAAATCGAGAAGCATCAGGGAATGAACAATTTCGAAAAATTAGGAAATCTGTTCCAGAAAATGGGAATCTCTTACTGTATATGCAGATTAAAAATGAAATATTTTAATCTGCAAGTCATCAGAATGATTGAGAACGCCAGATTATAAAAAGATCAGGAACGCTTTCGGAATTGAAAAGTTGAATGGGCATCTATCAATTGGCTGAAAGATGAGAAAAATCGATATTCATATCCGGAACTCCGGATAATTGTAAGGTCTTCCACAAGAAAATTCCGGGGAAGTGGGAAAAAATGTTGGTTTCCCATCAGGGAAAAATCAGAGAATGAACTTAAACATGGTCAACAATTCTAGACACCATGCCAAATGGAGCTCTTTCATGAGCCAGGTATTTGCGATTTGTGAGTTGGAACTGACTTATGTGAAAAATGTCGCGAGGAACACGATGGTACCTCTGGTTTTCTTTGAAACGAACCCCAAAGCTCAAAAAAAGCTCTCCAAGTTGAGGTAGTAATGGAGGGGATATCCCACGCTATCTTGAGAGTCCACCCCTATATCAAGTCAAAAAACTCTCCATGCAAAGATACGGAGCAAATACATTAAAGAGGTTGCGACTTTGTTTGGAGATTCCTAAGTTTGAATCACGTCAACCGTGCCAATGTATTTCCTCCCTATCTTTGCATGGATAGTTTGACTTGACATGGAGATGGACTCTCAGGGTAGCGTGGGATACCCCCTTCATTACGGACTCGACTTTGAAAGCTTTTTTGAGCTTTGGAGTTCGTTTCAGAGAAATTCAGTGGCACCATCGTGTTTCTCGCGAAATTTTACGAAGAAGTAGTTCTTAAATCGCAAATCCCCCCGCACATTTAAGAACTCCATTGGTTTTTTGGAGTGGCGATTGGCGTTTTTCGATTATCAATGTTTCCCCATTTGAAACTATGGTAAAGAATCGATTATTAAGGTGTTCGTTGCGAACACCCTGTTTATCGATCCTTTTCCATAAGTTTAAATAGCAGATCAATCGATTTACTGCAAAGCACGCCACGCCACTGGTCCCCCCCCCTAATTCGTTACCCCCGAAAAGACTAATCTCCAGGAAGGGAAAAAACTGAGAGCTGTGGCTGACATCGTTACACTAATCTTTCCATGATCGATTCCAATTTACCGGGGGACAATTGAATTAATACATCGGCGGGGAGGGGAGTGGGGTGTCATAGGGGTGCGGGACGCGGTTCGGCGAGGGCTGAGAGATAGAGGATGTAGACGCTATCAGTGGCGCGTCATCATAGGGATTCGCCATAATATCGAATTGGATCCAAACAATAACATCGGCATAACCTCTTTCAATGCTGCCGATGCGAAAAAATCGATATATATCGCTTTTCTGTGACGTGGACCAATAGGGATCGAGCAGAAGCGCCCGGACAGCGATGCTCGGTGCTGGGTGCTCGCCCTCGTAGTTCTTGCTCGCCTCACCTACGATAAAGACGCGAAACTCGGAAGATTAACAACATCGCGTGCAGCTCAGCAAGTTCGGGACCCTGAAATTAAAGCCAGTCTGGGTAGTTAAACAGATTTATTCTTTCTTGCCGCCGCCGCTGTGACCGAGGTGACTTGGTACAAAGTTGCACGTGCAAATCCACCTTATTGCCCATTCCGTTTAGGTCGAAGGACAACTCCGGAAGACGGCAGGACAGACGAGGATATCACAGAAAACGTGATGGAGTCGGCCTCCCAAACCCAACTTCACCCCCACTATGAGACTTATCGTTCATGAAGCTGGCCAGAGGGGGCTGATTATTGAAATTGATACACAAAGCGACAGACAAAAGGATATAGTGAGTTTGGAGCGATCCTATTGGTTGAAATGTGTGGCTCCTATAGGCTAAGGAAGAAAATGATGGACTAACTGTCGGGTTTTTCGTGGGTTGCCGTTAGTTAGTCTATTACCTACTGCCATTGTCCATTGCGACCACCCGCTTCCACCAATAGTATCCCTCCATATCCCTCAGTTCTTCTTTGTCTAGAGCCTTGTCTATCGATTTCAATAGATCACCCCGCAGGAACCAGTCATGAAAAAGAGGTATCGGCAAGAGCCGTTTTTGGGCCCACTCCAGCCGAATTTCCTTTTTTTCTCATTAAAAATCTACATTTTTGGGGGGAAAATGATGAATTGGTCATTTTCGGTATCTATTCCGGTGTAAGTCTAGCCTACATTTCCGACTGTAAAGGCCGAATTTGACGAAAAATGCAGATTTTTTGACATTCGACCGCAAACTCGCAAAACCTTCGTTTTTCGTCAAAATTGTCCATTAGATTCGTGTCTAGGTCAGTACTGATCCTCGAAAAGAAACCGAAAATGACGAAATCGAGTTGTATTTACGCAAAATATAGACCCTCAGTGAGCGAAAAATCGTAGAGGATCCAGGAAGGAAGATCAAATCGTATGAGAGCCGTAGAAAAATCGTTGAGGAAATTCAAGATGGGCCCGAAAACGGCCCTTTTCGTTGTACTCCTTCCTTTTGTCACTATTGACAAGGAAAGAGTTCTAAGCTAGCGTAATAATACGTAACGGGTACAAGAAGACTCGTCACCGTTACGCTACGCTGGCCCCGTCACTGACGAGGGGATGAAGGAAGGAAGAAGAATAAAAGATCTATCTTAGCACGCTCAAACATTTGGGGATTTTCCGACAGTTTTAGTTATTCACTGGGAAAAAAACACATTGGATCTAGAGTCCAGACTCTTGAAAACATCGACAAGAAAAAGGACTCTTGATTCAATCAGATTTAAGCTTAAATCAAAAGGAAATCCGCTCAAATTAAGAGGCTTGGTTCTTGATTTAAGCTTAAATCTGATTGAATCAAGAGTATTTTTTCTTGTCAATGTTTTCAAGAGTCTGGACTCTTGATCCGATGTGTTTTTTTTTCCAGTGTTGAGTAAAGCTGGGCAACGATTCAATTCACAAAAAGAGGAGGTCATGAAGGGGAAAGTTATGTATTTTGGTGAGAGGGGGCTCAGATCGGACTGTCGAGTGAGGATCTAAAATTTCGACCCATGGCATTATCTGTTCGACGAACAACCACCGGTGGTAAACGATAACAATCAATGTATATGCGACAGTACGCCTTCATTTTCGTCTGATACTGTGCAATACTCCTGTGGCGGAATAGTTGCTCAGAGCTCCTTCAGTGGTAACAAGTTCAGACGATATCAAGGGTGAGAATTTCTCTAAACCGCGCGACTGCGTGGTTGCAACCTTCGGCATCCTGAATAGTGATCCCTAGATGCTGGCTTAGCCTTCCCTCTCGTTAATTTTACATCCTGAGACTAGAAATTGACTTGATTTTTGAGACAGTCAAGCCAGAATATAGGTACCACCAGACAAATTGTTCACATCCAGAATGCTAGAGCAGTGTATTATTTTTTTGGTTTGCTCTTGAGAGTGTGTATGTTACATTGTACGGTCTCTAAATGGAAGGAAATTCTTTAGATATATTAGGGTCGCCCCTAGGAACAAGTTATCTCCATTTTTTTCCTCCACGAAGAAAGCAGAACATTTGGGGGAAAAAATGAATTATCATTTACACTGAAGAACAAATCGAACTTAACACTAGCTAGTTTTTGTTCAATTGTAAATGTACAATGTAAATTATAAAAATTTATCTATTTTTTCCTTTGCACTCTTTCGTTGATTTCACGTGTATAAAATGTGTGTATCATTTGCATATATTTTTCTCGTCATCTTTCAAACTGATTAGTGTTTTTTATCTCCTTTCAGTTATTCACGGACGGAATAACCAACAAATTAATGGGCTGTTTTCATGATGACCACCCAACTGATGGAGTTCTTGTCAGAGTTTATGGTCAACAAACAGATCTTCTCATCAACCGCGCCAATGAGATCAAAAATTTTAAAGTGAGCTTTTTGATTTTGTTGATTCAATGCTCTCTTTCACCCTGTGATTTTTTTTCTTTTAAATATATACATTTAAGTGGTGTATGAATGTGGTGAAGTTCTTTTAGATTACCCCTATTTTAGGGAATAATTTAATTTAACCTCATACAAATAAAAAAATTAAAACTTGATTTTCAGCCCTGCGTGTTTTACTCAGAATACAATAATAAAACAAAGAGCCATGCACAAATTCGCCCGTTTTTGGGCCCTCGAAATTGGGGTCGGTGTGAGGTTTTTTTTCATCTATAGGGTGACCCTTTACACATAATAAAATTTCAGATTGAGTATACGCACCGTTTTTGAGATATGGGGGGGCAAAGTCCCCGATTTTTACTCATATTTGCAGGTATTTTATAGTCGAACTTCGGCTGCTACAAGGTACCGGATGTAGATATTGAAGCNAGCAGCCGAAGTTCGACTATAAAATACCTGCAAATATGAGTAAAAATCGGAGACTTTGCCCCCCCATATTTCAAAAACGGTGCGTATACTCAATCTGAAATTTTATTATGTGTAAAGGGTCACCCTATAGATGAAAAAATACCTCACACCGACCCCAATTTCGAGGGCCCGAAAACGGGCGAATTTTAGCCCTTTTTGTGCAAGGCTCTTTCACAGCAGGTAACAAGGCTAATTTTCAAGTAAATTTCACCAAAACGTTTCGGCTGAATACTCAACCTTCCTCAGGTGGATAAAACAGTAAAAAATTGTAAAAATATAAAAACCTAGTACTTGGCTGTACCTTTCAAAGCGAAATCAATGTTATTAGAGTACCCCTACATATTAAGAACATTGTTCTCGCTTTGGAAGGTACAGCCAAGTACTGCGTTTTTATATTTTTATCATTTTTTACTGTTTTATCCAACTGAGGAAGGCTGAGTTTTCAGCCGAAACGTTTCGGTGATATTTACTTGAAAATAGCCTTGTTACCTGCTGTGTAATTTGTTTCATTACTGTATATCTTGTCTTAGGCTCTGGAGCATCAATCATATCTCATTCACTCAGCATATTTAACATATACTGTATTTCTCAATTTTCTACCCTGTTTAGTGTGTATTGCGTTGTTCACGTATTCACCTTAGGTTTCTGTCCCCCTTTATTCTCTTTTTTTTTCCACCTCGGAAGAGGGATCTCTTCCGGTATAAGTAACACTGACGGGCTACAAGCCAAAGTCAGCAATACACATTTGCTTGCTTTAATTTAACTACTTGAACTGCTTTACTACTTATTCTCTATTATGATTGTTTCAGTTTTTGCAAAAAGCTGGGTTTGCTCCCAAGCTGTACGCAACGTTCAATAATGGTATAGCTTATGAGTTCGTCTCGGGAGAAACATTATCACAAGATTCTTGTAAACATCCATCAGTTTACCCTCTGGTAGCCCGAACTATGGCCCAGTTTCACAAATTATCCTCTGATGCAGATTCACCGAAAGTGCCTGTTTTATGGAAGAAATTTAGACAATTCCTCGACCTTGTGCCAGAAACATATGATTCCCCTGACACTCAAATAAGGTATTTTTTAATTCTTCTATTTTCGTCTTACATCTATTTTAAGTTGTTTGAAAATACAGTAGAACCCCAGTCATAAAGGCTTGCTGGAAAAATCGAGGTCAAGAGAAGATTCCATCTAATGCCGAGAAAATACTGCATGATGACTCCATAAATGTGCTTAGTCACTAAAAATGATTTACGTTCTGAATAATATGAAGACAGATTACCAAATTTATGAAAATTGAAAACCCATTTTAACTTTTAAAGGAATTTTCAAAGAGTTTGAAAAGTACTTAAATCAGATATGGAGAAGGAGCTCAGACAACTCTAAAATCTTGATACTTCCTCTCAAAACGCAACTAGCTTTATTATTTCAATGAACTTGAAACCTCTCCTTCTCTATTGCTAATGATTAATATATATAGTATTCTACCTCTCCTTCTCTATTACTAATACATACTAACATTAGTAAATATTTAAATCCAAATTATATATTTAATAATATTAAATTATTAATAATTATATAATAATCCTCCCTTCTATCACAATGTTGACTGTAGAGGAACTGATTTTTTAAACAATTTATTACAGATTTGAAGAATGTTTTCCAAATGGAAAAAGCAAGATAACCAGCGAAGTTTCAAGTTTGGAATCAATACTAAAACATGAAAAAAATTTGCCTGTCGTCCTCTGCCACAACGATTTATTGTTAGCAAATATTTTAGTCACTGGGAACAATGAAAATGTAACATTTATTGACTATGAATATGCTGATCACAATTACCAAGCATTTGATATTGGTAATCATTTTGCGGAATTCGCAGGTAAGATAACTGACACACTTATTTTTTAAGAGGGTAATGAATATTTTTACGCTCATGAGTAATAAATTGAGTATGCCGAAGTAAGTTATGACCTTGCAAAAAGGAGACTGATCCCCTTCCCATCTGTCAAAAGTCAGAAAGAGCAGCTCTTGTTAGTACTGAAATTAATGTTATGATCTTTAAGCATGTTGCATATGAAAATGTGTCATCATTTCACCGTAAAATTCGGCTCATATTTTAGTTGTGTTTTGATTGCTTTTTGAGTCGATTAATACACTGAATTGACTGAGGAAATACTGTACATTTAGAAAACATTCGCTCTTGCTGCATATTTTCTTAAATCCCAAGTAAGTTATCCACAAGCCTAGTTGCGCTCCTCTCCTACAGTCTGCTGCCTCCCCTGTATGCCATATGTCCAATGAACCCAAAAATTTGGCATTAAAACCTAAAAGCCTAAAAAGGGGGGAAGGCTAGGCAACCATGGCGTCTAAAAAATTTGATGCACCTTGCAATAGATCAGGTTTTTTTCTAAAAATCATATAGATCCGCTTCAGATGAACACGGATTTTTTTTCTTCATCATTTTTCCTACGTTTCTTATACTTAAAATGTTTCAGCTACTAATTTCTCACTTATTCTCTCTCCATAATATTCCTCAAGGAAGGTCAAGATTTGTAGCAATGTATTAACGTTTTAATTTCAGTTGATGCCTTGTGTCCAACTGCTAGGTGTTTCGCAGCCTGATTTCTCACTGTACCCAGATGAGGAGTTCCAGAACAAGTGGCTGCGATGTTACCTAGAAGCTTACTTAGACACCAAAGTCCTTGACAAGGATGTCGATCAACTTCGAGACCAAGTCAACAAGTTTGCCTGTGCTGCTCACTTGTTTTGGGGTGTTTGGGCATTAGTACAGGCACAGTTATCTACGATAGACTTTGATTTCATTCTGTAAGTATTTGTTTTTTATTTTAGTTCAATGGAAATGTATTTCTCCTATTAGGTTGATAAATTATCTGTAAGGCTCTCTATTTCATATCAAACAGAAAGGTCTAAATCAAATTAGTACAAAGATATGTGTCAGTCATACTTTCAGCTTTAAAAATAATTGAAGCTTGTAAAAATTGAATTGATATATGCGAAAACATCTGTTGTCCAATACAGGGTTTCATAATTGTGGTGGGTTTCTTTTGTCCCACAACACTGATGAATAGGATCGATCTCTTTTGTGAACGTTTAATTATAATTAGGGGATTATTTATAAAATCGTTCTACATTCATAATGTCTTAAACCATCTTGTGTCGTCAAGTTACAAAGAAATTGTCCACTTAAATTCTGAAACACTGTCATGGACTTCGGACGTTTTCGCATACGTCGATTTAATTGATCCAGAGGTTGGCAAGAAACTGAGATTCCTAACTTGGAGACGGGGTTAATATCCCTGTGCTAGTACAGGGATATTAACCCGGTCTCCTAGTTACCAATTGAAAGGAATTGCTATTACTACAAGCATAATGCTTGTTTACTTCAGGAAACTAAGATTTACCAGAGATAGCTCCTGCAACAAATTTTACCCTAATTTCTCAATTTATGGCCTCCAAAATAAAGAAAGCTAAAAGTAAAGGCATAAGATTTACTCTGATTCTTATATTTTCGGATTTAATTGGTATGACGTATTAGGTCGACTGGTCAGTGAGAAAATCAGGGCTGTTTAAAATATCTGCTTATGCAGCGCAAGTTGACCGTTCAAAGTGATATCAAATTGCTCACCCACAAAATTACCCTTCTCTGCCATGTGAAATTATGTTCACAGCCTTCCAAAAATCAAATGATATATAATTACAAAAAAAAATCAAGGAGGTTTTGAATATTACGCAAAAAATGTGATGTGATGGCAGAATATTGCACCAAAATGACTTGATCTAAGTTGGGCCAAGCTGTAGGTGTAGATCTATGCAAAAAAAAAAAAAATCGGATTTTTTCGCTAACTGATGAATTTAAAATGTTCAACCAATACACCCAATCGAAGCTGAAAATATCAGGATCAAAACAATTTGAAAACCTCTGCTTTCAGCTTTTTTCCCTCCCAAGAAAAAATTTGGGAAACTTCAGCACAATCTGCCTAGTGCACCAGGAGGTGGGTACATGGCAACAAGGGGTTCTCTCTGTAATATTGAGGTTCCTTGTGAGCCTCTGTACCAATTTTTTAAAACTTAAAATTGTTTTAAAGCTGAAAGTGTAACTGACTTTGGGAAATGTGAAATAATGCACCTTAAATTATGGATAACTCTTCTAAATGATTAATGATAACTCTTTTAATTGATAAATTGAATTATCGTTGAAGTGAAGTAAAATGAATGCAGCAGTTATTTTTAAATGACTTATTTTCTGTGCAGTATTAATGTAATTAGTCTTGCAATCATTACCAGTGTAAAATTGGTGGCTTTCGTAAGTTTTTACAGAGTTGAAAGGTACTTGTATCAGTCATTTTTACTATGCAGACTTAAACCTGAATACTTACACACTTAAGAAAAATTTGAATGATAGGGAGGTGAATACTCCCATAATGAATGACGATTTACTATTGTTACAGCACAGCCTCAATTTTGAAACTTTTTTGTAGTTTTAAAGTGAACTTAGGATAACATTAGTGGCAACATTGTATTTATACAAGATTCTATGTAGGGTTTATCGGTCGTATCCTTTTCACTCGTAGAAGCTGGTTTATAAAATCAAATAAGTGACATTTTATACTTGCAAAAAATCAGGAAATTTCATTTAAAATATCAGGAAAAATCAGGAGAATATCAAGAAAATCAAAGATGAAATTTTATTAGACACCTTGTGCTATGATCATTAATATAAGCCTGCTCCTCTCAGTCTTCAGTTATTTTATTAAATGCCCATCCTACTTTATAGTGTCTGCAAATTTTAATTTGAAACATTTTCTCCCTCTTTTTCAGGTACGCAAAGAATAAATACCAGGCGTATTTAATAATGAAAGAAAAATACTTATGTAGTTAACAATGCCCTTTGTTTTGTGATTTAATGAGAATCGATGCCATACCTTATCTTAGTCTTATGCAGTATTGTGACTCTTGATATAAAGCATATTTTATCAAAATGTGAATGTGATGTACTTAAGTATTGAAAATCAGAACAAGCCTTGGTATCTACTTTTGTGATTTTTACCTAGTGATGTATCGATCAGTACCAAAGTTATATTGATTTGCCATCATATTGCCATTACAGCAAATAGTTTGATTTGCCAGCCCTACCTTTCTTATGTTTTCAGTCGTATAAATTTGTCAAAATTTGTCACTTTCTTCTGCAAGTCGATAATCAAAACTCTGTTACTTTATCAATGGACCACTAGACAAAGAACGAATTTAAACATTCTGAAGAAATTTCAAAATTTTATGTAGTGTACTATTTAAGCAACGTAAATAATTGATATCAACTCTAAACTGTGATAATAACGTCTTTATTCAGTATTTGCCATTATTTACGAAAAATGTGGATTGCCTGCCCATAAGAAAAACATGAGTCTGCGTGAATCAAATCGTGTACTTAAGCAGTCTTGGTAGGCCTCTCAATCAAGCAGGGATCCTCTCCCACTCTGTGTTGTTCAAAGTGTAAACAATGTGCAATAGCCGAGCCAAAGTGCTGATTTTAAGATTGTCATATTTTCATTCTGCAACCACTGTCACAGTAATGTTTAGTTTGCGATTTAACTCAAGTAGATCATGGTGTTTTTTTTTTCTTTGAGCGGGAATTTTTAGTTTATGCATACAAAAACATTAATATCTTGGTAGGAGTTACTTAAAATCATTTTTGTTGTACAAATCATGTTCTACGTGAAATTTTGATTAGAAAACTTACATCCTAGTGCTTACAATTGCACATTGTCTAAGGGACCATTATTCCAGGTTGAAAATCAAATTTTCACCTTAATTACTGTTCAAGGTCTTTGATGAGCGATCAGTCAAGTTCGAATGATCAGTCTGCTGGATGAATAAAATTAACTCTTCGGAGGTTCATCTTTGTATGTTTCTGACTCTCCATTGATGAATAATGTCAACAAAAAAATTGCACATTATCTCACATACTTAGCTAAATCACTCAGGCTTTTCCTGCACCAATTTGACCTGTTTGCCGTTGATTATTTTGTTTGCAAATAGTAAACCAATGCATTCTGTCAAGTGGCAGAGCTGAAACAATAGAGCCTCTATCAATCGCTATAGCATAGCTAATTCCAGCTCCTGATATCAAGAATAAATGCAAAGAAGAAAATTTTGATGTTTAAAAAGTCAGAAAAGAAAGAAAAATCAGTCTTATTTTCAGAACTGGTCGAAAGGCATATTTGCTTTTAGTTGTAACTAGTTTTTTCAGACTCGTAAGGAATGAGGTATCAGTTGAACATTGTAATCACTCCGTGTTGAATTATGTACAAGGAAAAATATTCATGCCAATAATCTTGGGACTCTCGCACGCAAAGGAAGTGATGGATATTGTTGGAATATGTGTACTTATCAATAAATTTGTGTAAGCCATCGCTGATATTTCTGAGAACTCAAAAATGTTTTGTCTAAATTTTGAAGCTACATGAGATCTTAATTTGATCAAATGCTTGGTTATTTGGTTTGCCTGCATTAAATACTTACAATACTAAAGGGAATTAACCACGTGTTTTTTATTCATTCCAAAGTCATTAGGTAGTTACCATCCAGAAGATGAGTCTTTGTTTAATTGATTGTTTTTTATTTTACTTTTCTTGAAACCTTGATTGTCTACTTACCTGCTCTAATCTTGTTTGCATTTTAATTTTTCTCTGGTGAGAATCATAAATTTCTCCCTCCCATCTTTTCTATCCTTTTTTTTTTTTTTTAAATCATCATCCCTCCTTAATTTAAGTATGCAAAAAAGAGACTGGTAAAATGGTGCATATCTTCTTAGAGTTGAAGGTGCAAACCTTTATTGCAGTCTATGCCTGTTTTTATTTTTGAACCAAAAAAAAAAATCCTTAATTTAGTAAATGTACTTAGTCGAGAAAAAAAAGTTTTTACTTATTTTAACTACAAACTTCATTGTTCTTATACAAATAAACTTTATTGTTCTTATTATGCATGTTTCTTTATTTTTTTCCGCCTTTTTGCGTAACTAAATCCAATGAGAACCTTCGTACAACGTACCAATACTATGATAATAAAATGAGTCTTCATATGCTTTTCTTCAGCCGAAAAATAACCACTCTGAAAGTAGAATGAAGTATTATAAATTTAAGGATCTTTCCACAAGAAGTTGAATAATTATAGAACTATACCTACTTAGCCCAAAGCCCATGTTCATTTTCAGCAGTGCAGTGCATTTAGGTTCTCATTTTTGTTGGTGTTTACCTGCTCAGTAGCCACCCTTCAAAGAATCTTACAAAATAGATGGTTAACATTATAATTATTGAGATTAAGTTTCACAAACACCTGATACCTATTTGTTTGCGATGAATAGGCAGAGGCATTTAATTTTTTCCTTTAAATCCCTCTTTCTCGATTTTAAGGCCGAAGAAACTCAAGGTGGAAGAATGTCAGTTGATGACAGGTAAATTAGATTTTATGACAAAATCAAACTCTCCATCAGTTCAATGTTGTAACAGGTAAATATCCATTAAGAGAAGTTTAGATGGTCACAATTAACACTGAATTCAACCTAAAGGAATGTAAATTACTATGAGTTAAAATAGAGAAAATTTTCTTAGTGTCTGGATTTTTACTTTTTTTTGCAGGAAGAATCAAATCACCAGTCAAGCTCAAAATCACTCCCAACCCACTTTTTATTGTTCACTTTTATCGTTTTTTATCACCCTTTGAACAAAAAAAATATGAGCAGAAATTTTGAAACGTCACAATGGAGATTTGTCAATATGAAGGTATAATTATAAGTAAGGGTCAGAGCTAGGTATCAAATTGCAAGGAATAGAGAGTAGGTACCCAAGTAGCACCGCGCAAAAAGTTTATCAAAAGAAAATCGCAATGTAGTGCAATTGATAGGTGATGCATTTTTTTTTTTTATTACCATGAAAGTGCAATACATAATTTGGTCGATGAGAGCCAATTTTAATCCGTTAATGAGATGAGTTCCAAATGTGTACCAGAAAGATCGGAAATTGGCAATGCAAAGAAAAATAGCAACTTATTTCAATTTCATTGTAATCACTTTCAACAGGAGGTGTCCCTTCAATTAGAAGGTAGGCAACATAGGTATGCAACACCAAGATTCTAATATTTTTATTTTTATTTTATTTTATTTTTTTTTTTACCAAGTGCGCGCTAACTTAGTCGTTCTACTTGGGTAGGGGGCATCGCTTGAGTGATTCATCCACACATTTTATGAAAAATAGGAATGAATCCATTTTCCTATTTTGATAAAAAAAAATTTGCTCCTTACCAATGCAATGCGCTTCCTTAGTCCCCTGCACAACCACAACAATCCAATGGGCTCTGCTTTAACTATTAAGTTAAGCCTGTTTTAGATGAGCATACCCTCACTGGTTCAAATACCTAATGAGCAAAATTTAGAAGTAGGCACTTTTACTTAAGCATTGGCAGAACTAGAGTTTTTTATTTATTTATTTTTTTTGGGGGGGAGGGGGCAGTTAGTAGGGCAACTAATCAAATAAGACGGAAAACCAGTCAGTGGTGGCGCGTTTATGGGCCGAGAGAGAGAGCGCTCGACGTCCCCAAAGTTCTGATTTTTTTTTTTTTTTCTTTTCTTTTATTTTAATGTTATATTTTACCGTGAAGACAACCGAAACATTGCGTCTCGTGGTTTCTCTAAATTTTTCTCGTGGAGAACCTCTCTGGTTGGGAAACCCCCCATCCAGAACTCAAAGGCTCTTTTTTTTCAAATTCCCCCCTCCCTCCTGAAGTTCGGTCCGTGCGCTACCTACCTACCACCGAACACTGTGAAAGAACCCCCCACCTCCAAAAAGGGAGGTTCGAGTATGCGCCCTTTGGTTTGCCACCCTCTCCTTCTCAATCCCATTCTAAACCGTGCCACTATTATTAGCGGTCACGCCGTATGCCGTTGACCTTTCGTAAAAGCCGACAATTATTTTCAATTTAATTTGCGCTTGGACGTTTTCAATCAGAGCCTCTAGACAGGTATCTATTTCCTCAGAGGTTTGATTCGACTGACTGTGCTTCTCATCCGAAATAGAAATCAGCAGGAAGCTAATCTCCATGGACGAAATGTGATTAAGTACCTATTGGCGAGATCACTGATAGACTGATGAATAAGGCTTCCGGGTTTGATCGTAGGCTCCGAGATATAGGTTCGATGCAATGAAAATAAGGAGAAAAATACTGCGATTTAGTGCAATATATAATTGAATCTTTACCATGACATTGCAATATTTTTAAATCATTCGGTCAATAAATGCCGATTTGTCGACGAGATGAATTTTATGTATTTGAAAGATGGCAATACTAAGAAAAAATTGCAACTAATTTAAATTTCATCGCGATCACTTTCAACAGGAGGTGTCCCTTCAATCAGGAGGTAGGCAACATACCTTACACTCCGATACTTCGACGACTCCTATGCTGCAGACTCCAATTTTACCATTTTCGTAATTATATTTGATTGCATTTTGCCAAGTACTTGAGTATCTTTCGGACAGTCATTCAACCCACCGCCCAAACCAGAAGGGAGAGGGCTTATTGTTCCGGTTACCTTCAACCTTCAACATTTTTCTTGACTGTTTCTGAAGAGGAAACACAGTAAAAAAGGTAATTAGATAGGTACCTCCTTTTCACTTTTCACCTCAACCTCGGAGGAGAAAAATTATTGCCTGCTTACAGAAGGTTTTTTGAAGTGTATTGGGCGTAAATATCGTGAAGCATTGACGGCGACAGTATTATTGCATTCGCGATAAATTTATCAGTATTTCCTAGTAATTTCCATCAAGATAGGGCAGACATTGAGGGTCATTGTCACTCATCCTCATTCTCCATTTCGTTTCGAGGACTTTCGTGGACGATTGTTACATCGAAATATCGAGCTCCAATTCATCCACACCATCTCTTGGTAAGTTTCATGTATGATTTAAAATAACTTAACATGATTTCCTGTTATGGCCATGGATGGAAATTCTTTTTGATGCTGGAATAACAAAAATTTCCACTCCACCCGAAAGGGTTTGCTATCCACCCTAACCTAACCTCCCTCTTCCTTTTGCAGGGCACCTGAAGTACCTTCAGATACCGAGATTTTCTTAGCTGGTAAAACTTGAACTCCTCATATTCCAGTCTACTTAATTGAACAATGGTTGGCTGCTAGATTTTTTTCTGATATCCATCATTCTCTGTTATCGCAATGGATTTTGAGGATCGCTTTCCCAAATTAATGGAGGAGCTTCAAGGGCAGCCGTGGTCCAATCTGAGGACAAAGTTGGACAATCTTTTGGAAGGTATTTCACTTTGATTTTTCATTCTTAGAATTTAAATTAACTATTGCATCTATTTTGCACTGTATTCTAGTCTGAACCAAGTAAGCAATTGATGGGAACAGGAGTAAAAATGTAGGTCGTACATCTGTTCCTCATCCTTCAGACTTGGTTTTAGTTCGGCCTCTCATTCCAAATACATCTATTTTCTCCACTGGAAAGTTACAATGAAATTCTAGAGTGTCTAGAAGGGGATCTACCTTAGACATAGTGCTATTAATTTTAAAGATAAAGGATATGAGAAGTCCGTAATGTTGCAAATCGAGACTCCCAGTCTCGGAAATAAAAGGAAATGGTCCACCAGTCAGTAAGGGTCTGTTCTGAGTATTTTTTTTTTTCATTCTTTTCTAGCGCAGCGTCAGAATGTTCCACCTTTAACTCTGAAATTGGTCAATTAGAGTTTGTCGCCCCTCTTAAACTACCATGTCTATTCCTTATCTTGCTCCCTGTAAATCTGCTTCCACTCATGAAAAGAGATCATCTACCTAATTTACCTCAATCATCCAAAGCTGAACTGAGAGAACTTTACCTCAGTTTGCAAGATTGCAGACTACCCATCATACTATACTCATTAATTGAGGAGAATTCATCATTGCAAATTTTGAAAAATTTGTATGATACGTCCAGGATTTTATATTCTCCTCAAAACCTCTGCAAGAATCAGAGTCCTGAACATTCTCCTTCTCAATCATGGGTTTCTGTTTAATATGATGTATCTCCTCTCTAACATGAATGCCACTGTGATATCTGTTGAATTAATAAATTTAATCATTAGGTGTTAATAATGATATCAATAAAATTGTGATAATTTAATTTGAATTTGTGACTGAATGAAATTATTTTATCGATTCAGATTTTCCAGATGAAGAGAAATCTGACAACAGAAGACTGATAGAGACTAGATGCGGGAAGCTAGATAAAGCCGGTAAGAACATCTTCAAATTTCTTCTTACATTTTTTAATTTTACTTAGTAAGGTTGTTCAAAGAAAAAACTGAAAACATGAAATAGCTTTCATGTACCTAATCTACTGATCTTATCATGGACAGAAGGTGAACTTTGAAATGAAACAGTTATAAGGATTTCTATTTGTAGTGATAAGATGAAGTGGATTACTTACACTAAAATTATACCCGGTGTATTCAAAAAGACTTTTAATGAAGACGCTGTAATGCACTTTCATGTAGCGGAATTTTCAACAATAAAACTTGGATGAGTTGCATTTAAGTAGCTATCTAATTAAATTTGACCTCTATCAAATGTCTACATTTGAAAACTTTACTACACAGGCTCCTCCTGAAAATGCTAAGTATAAAAGTTCATGCAGGGAGAGGTAATTTTATTCACACTCCAACATAGCCTGAAAAAGATAAGAAAAACAAGTTTTTGAAATTTTCCTGTATTACAAAATTTTGATATCCTTTAGGGGTGCATAAAGGCTCTCAGTAAGTCCTATGAAGAATGAATTTTTATTTTCCTTCATTATTCCCATAAAGAATAACACAAGTGTGCATAGTATCCTGAACCATTGTTTTTATTTTTCAGATGTTGCTATCTACGGTTGTTGTCCCGAGTTGGAAGAGTTAGTCGTTGTTCAATGTAGAATATGCTCAAAAATAGTTAAAGCTGAAGCAATAGAATATCATTATGGTGAGAATTTTATCTGCCTTATTAAGTCAATGTCCTCTTCAATAAACAGCTAGATTTTTTCGCATCATATTTGCTTATCAAATTTGTGATTATGCTTGTAGGTATTCAAATTCTTACAAGCACTTTTTCTCAGTTTCTACCATCTCATGATCTAATATTAGCAGTAACAGTAAAACAAAACTCAAATGGCAGACAAGAAAAGAAGAAAGAAATAAGTAAATAAAACCTACAGCACTATCAGAAATTACTCAATTGAAGGAAATTCCTTCATTAGTATCTTGTCTATTATACTCCTCAAGCCCTTCAGAAGTACACTCCAGACTTGGATAATTCGTTAAGGCCATGTTACTTGCTGTCACTAGATGCAAGTATTAAATAAGATTTTTAAAGAATTTTTGTACGGAAAGTTGTGTGAACAAAAATTCTCTTGTAAGCGTTCAGATACATTATTCTTGCCAATTCAACATATTACTTCAAGCAGTCATGTAACCATGACTTGCTTTCTATTAATTAGAGCTTCTGAAACAGTTATCACTTTGTATATGGACTTTTTGCCCCTCAATAATTTCTTCAGGAAATTTGCTTCCTATCCGTTTTACTTAAACTTTGACACAATCAAATAAGAAACAAAAAAACAAAAATTTTAGAAGCTGACTAAGATTTCGATGATCGGACAGCTTTTTTTTAGGTCACAGTAAGTAAATGGAGTCTTGGAGCAATTTTTTAAGAATAAATCAGAGAATTTGAAAAATATGATCATAACAGTGTAAAAAATTTTTTGAACACTTAAAGTATGAAAACCACTGAAGAGCTATTCATGATTTAGATATAATACACTTGATCAGACCATCTCATGTATCCATCTCTCAGGTTTATGGGTCAGTTATGGAAGTGTGAAAAAGTGTTCAATTTAAAAAGAAAAAGATATATTTTTACCTATTTTTTATCATTGATAATTATTTTTCAGAAACATGTCATGAAGAGGCGCATAAATTAGTGGTTAAAGCAGTGGAAGATAAGCGCACATCCACGGCAGAATTGAAGCAACTTCAAGAAACGCTCTCTACTTTTTCCATCAAGCCTGCCACTACTGTAAAACCAGGGAAGCAGACTCCGTCGGGAAAATCTACTAGCTTAAAAACTCCTGTTTCAAAATCTAAAACGAAATCGAAAAAATTGGTTATTGATCCAGTTGTCCCTTCCTCCTCCAAAGCCTTGTTCCCTCCTTCGCCGCAGTCTAAACCGAGTACCTCTCAAAACAAGGTCCCCATACCTGTGGCGAACTCACCTCAAAGTCAAAAGGTAATTTTCCTTTTTTTTACTTTTCTGTACCCATAAGCGATTCTTTAAGTTTATTATCAAGCGACTGAAGCAATCATGAATATAATCATGGGCTGAGCACTCACAAATATATTGCCAAAAATACGATACTGAACATCAGGTAACTAACTTTAAAAAGCCTCCCTAAAAGTGAATATCACCAACAACAATTTTATTTGCAATTACAAAAGAAGCTGAAGAATACTTTTTCCTCTGAACTATGTCATATCTAACCTCACTTCAAAGTGATTGACATTATTTTATCGTTTATTCATATCAGGCTCTTTTTAAACAGTATCAGTATAACTTAAAACAAATTTTATTATGAACTGCTTGGATGAAATATTCAAAAACCATATTGCAGCCTAAGAACAGGGTGTCTGCAGGTCTGGAAAACCGGGAAAAATCAGGGAATTTGATCACTGTCTGGAAAACCGGGAAAAGTCAGGAAATTCGATCGAAAACCGGTGAAAGTCAGGGAATTTTTGCAATTCGAACATTTCGCGGCTAATTTTGCTCGTCACTGCCGAATTGGCCGAGTAGCGCGCTCGAGTGGCTGATAATGTAAACTGCTGTGTTCAACCAGTTTGCAACACGGCCGCTAGGTTCACTAATGTGTGTTCGCTAACTTTAAAGATCGAATCGATCTGCCCTATTTAATTTATCTACTTAATTCATGCCAAATAGCAAGGTAGACTAAATAGACTTGAATGAAGTTAACTTGCTAACAGCAGAAAATTACAGTAAATAATGATAGGAAACTAAGTGCCCCAGTTTTGAGCAGATGGTTAATCAATTTTTTCAATAAGTTAAGAAATTCAATGAAAGTGCTACAATTTTAGTTTTTCTCTAACNAAAAAAAAAAAAAAAAAAAAAAAAATCCTGAATCAAGCAAATTTATTTAAAATCGAGAAGAGACTCGTATTTCCTTTTGATTATAGCAAAATCTTCCTGAGGTAGGCACATTTACAACTCTTGTTTTATATTTTAAGAAAAAAAGACTTGTATTTTCAGGGCACTAAGTAATATGCCAATATTTATGAAACCACCAGGGTGAACTATAGTTTGAATTTTCAAAAGTATACGGGGCAATATGTCACAAAGAGAGCGTAGTAGAGCTTAAAAATTAAATTTTGAAGGTGAATTTTAGTCTGAGTATACCATTTTGGAATTAGCTTTATTTTGAGTATTTAGGATCTCGTTCCTTTCAAAAGTATTACTCAACTCCTTCCAACGCCATGGTAATTCAGAATATGACTTTACAGGGTCATTCCTAAGGATAGTTATTTTTAATATTTTCTAACTAGTTCATCGTATGGCTAAACCCAAAAAGTCAGGGAATTTTGTTATACTTTGTCATGGAAAACCTGGAATTGTCAGGGAATTTCATTTTGAAAATCTTGTATACACCCTGAAGAAGCAATTCTGACAGGAAACTCTTACTTCTAGTAGCCGTTGCCTCTAACTCAAGAGCCAACTTGAATTTGCAAATCAATTTTTGTTCTGCCTCAGTTCAAAACTTACCTATTATATTTGTAACAAGAACTAACAGGTGCAGTGTCAGTAGAGGGTGCTAACTTAGTCAGCCAATTTGAAGACCTAATGTATCCACTTTTCGAGCAGCCCCAGCATGTAAGCATTCTAATGGACCTCAAGCTTTGTCAGCAATTTAATATGTTCGGTTTTAATGTTAAATGAATACTTCAAAATGTTTTTCTCTGATTCTGATTCTAATCTAATTTTTCCTTTTTTCAGAACACTGTGATACTCGAAGTAGAAAAACCCAAATTAGAGCCAGTCATTTCACTCGTCAAGATTGACGGCAAAGACGGGAGTACTGAGAATGAAACCCCTCTGTCACCACCTCAACTGACACCGCAAGTCCATGTTGCGCCTCCTGTCATCCCTCCAACTAGTTTACACATCAAAACCCAGTCTAAATCAAAGCCATTGCGAAATCGGAGCAGCAATGGTGTCAATAGCACCACCGTCATCCCTAACATCATTAGCCCAACAACAAATAATGTTGTCAGCAGTGTGACCAGCCCTAGTCCAAAGGTGGAAATAGACTTAGACAAGCATTGTGGTGTAGAAACAGACGGTGCACAATGTGCGCAGCTATTATCATGCAAGCTTCACACTTTAGCAATGAAACAGGAAGTTAAAGGTAGAAGCAGAAAACTTGAGGTCTTTTTACCAGAGCATGTCTCAGAGAAAGAGACTGTTAAGAAGAAAAAGGAAATCAAAGTAGTGAAAGCAACGCCAGATTCGACTACGCCTCTCATAGCTCCATTTCCCACTCCAAAAGTGGAGGTCACCCAGAAGTCGGTTTTAGAAGCTGCGAAGAAGTTCACACCTATTGTATCTTCCCCTCCAGCACTTAGTTCGGCTCCTGTAATACCTAGTCCTGTAAGTTTATCTATTTATTGAATATCAGTTGACATTAATTGTGTTGAAATCTTTGCGTACCAGAAAGATTTATCATAAAAGTTAGGTTTTGGTATCAGCGGATATTTCAAGCGGTGTAGCTGTATACGGTTCTAACACAGTGTAATATTCTGATTTTACAATGTTTGCAGTGCTAATGCTGTAAAAAAATTGCCAAGGACAATGTACAAAACTCAATTATTTTCTATTGGTGGCTCAAACAGTTTAATTTATGAAATCTTTCTTTTATCCTTTCAGGCCTCTGCCAGAAAAGAAGATTCTGAGGAGAAAGCGAAGAAGCCTGCTTCTGTTGGGACAGTTTGTACAACCAATAATTTCCCACTTGAGCGGACCCCTGCGCCATTCTTCAAAGCATCCTTTCTGAAAGCTTTTGAAGACCTTCCTCGCTGTTATTGGCCTCATCGTTTCTCCGGAAACTCAGATATAGCATCACCATTGCGGATTCATCCGTTCATGGTTTGCTACTCACTCATGCATCGAACGCGGAGAGGCATGAAAAGCATTCGTTACTATACGAAAAATTATCCCTCTGGTTCATTGCGATCAAAGAAAGTGATTAATCCGTTTACGTCTTTATCCCGATTGATACCCAAAGATATTAAGCCTGTCAATACAAATCAGGTTAAACCTATGGCTGTGAGTATTCATTAAATATCCTCAATTTTTTTTCTTTTTAATGGAGCTAGTGAGGTGCTTTACTTTTCTATCCTCTTTTAAAGTCTAGAAGTAGAGAATTATTAGTAAAATGCCTGTGAGTCCATTTCGAAGAAACCTCTCCAATAAAATTTCTATGAAGACATAACCAGCAGCACAGTAAAGTCTAGTTGAAAACTACTACTCAATTCAATGTATTGTTAATGATCAGCCCTAACTATAATTTCTAACTAACAGAAACATAACAGTAGCCTGAAACATGTGATGAGATAAAAACAATATGAAGAAATGGCTTATCTCTAAGGCAAAAATGCAGTATTGTAACAAATCTGGAATGTTTTGAGGTCCCAAAAATCCCTCTTTCAACCAGAAACATGGAAAAAGAAATTCATGGAGGAATGAAAGCCAAAAATCCATGTCAGGCACAGATTAAATCAGATAACACTGCATGCAGGTTACTAGCTTCTGTTCCTTCTTAATTTAATTTTTAAATTGCACTGGATGCGAAAAGGGCACTTCTCGGTTGCAGTGTTTCTGGGTCCCCTCTAATGTTTCATTCATTGTAAAGAATGTGAATGCAACCATTTCACTAAAAATTTTACCGAATATTCCTTATGATTCTACAATTTTTAATGGAAAGAATTCCAGAAAAATCACCCTTTAAATTCGTCTCCATGGGATTAATTAGAAACAGAGATTCTGAGACACCGCAATCAAGAAGTGCCCTTTTCGCATCCAGTGCCTCAATTATCCAGCTCAAAATGGAATTGTTAGCACTCTGAAACATTTTGGCCAGTTTTGTAACTATATCCAGCCTTCATAATATTTATTTTGTGTATGTGTGTGTATGGTTTTTTTTTTTTTTTTTTTTTTTTTTCATCCTCAGCTAATTATTGTAAGAGTTCTTCATTTATTTTATCTTATTTCTTTTGCAGATGTGTAATTACAATTACCAAAAATGTGGTGGACTCCTGTACTCCAGTAGGAGGATTCACCTGGCTCGATTTGGGCTTCAGAGCATTTTAATGAAGACCTCGGCAACTAATTGTCAGACTGACTCTCCATCATCCACTATTAGTTACATGTTAAACAACATGAGTTCCAAGGCCTCGCTCGTGAGTCGAGGAATACCGAACAAAAAAAGTGCTCCCCGCCCAGCTGTAGTCCCTCAGAAGTCTACATCTCAAACTTCTAGTTCTGCTAGTCTCATTAAGGTTTCTAATTTCAAGTCGGTCCTATCTCAAAATTCCCCAAAAGTGGCTGTGAAGAATTTAAAGAATAAACAATTCCATGTTCCTAATATTCTGGGTAAGAATCCAAGTTTTCTGTAGCCATTCTAATTTTCACTCTATTGTTTTTCTTCTTCTTCTCCAAGCATCAGTTTTTAGGACTCAATCACTCAAATTTTAAAGATGTTTTTCTATCAGTTAGAAGTCGCAGACAATATCATGGTTTTTATCTTCTTTAATTCACTCTCTCTGCTCACAGAATAATTTGAGACCAGACGAGTCAAACTAAGCTCAAAGTAATTTTGGTATATTTTACGATGGAAGAACTTTCTGATGAAGTAACTTCTTTTTGACAAGAGTAAAGATACCTTGTATCAGGAGAGGAAAAAAATCAGTGTGAAACTAAGCCCCAGTTATTCGCCGAACATATAGGTCGATTTTAGTGCCTAACGGAGATGTTGCATGTGTGAGGAATTCGCGCTTTGACTGTTGATTCTTATGTAAAAGTTTGCAAGAAACACGATCGTGCCACTGGTTTTCTCTGAAATCAACTCCCAAGCTCAAAAAAAGCTCTCAAGTTGAGGCCAAAATGGAGGGGATATCCCACCCTACCCTGAGAGTCCACCTCTACATCAAGACAAACTCTCCATGCTAAGATAGGGAGCAAATACATTGACAGGGCTTGGGCTGCCACTTTATTCGGGGACTCTAAAACTGAAAACACGGCAACACTGCTAATGTATTTGCTCCCTATCTTTGCATGGAGAGTTTGTCTTGATGTAGAGGTGGACTCTCAGGGTAGGGTGGGATATCCCCTACATTTTGGCCTCAACTTGAAAGCTTTTTTTGAGCTTGGTAGTGGATTTCAGAGAAAACCAGTGGCACCATCATGTTTCTTTCGAACTATTACATAAGAATCAACAGTCAAATCGCAAATTCCTCACACATGCAACATCTCCATTTGACTGATGGGTTTTTCGTAAGTGGAAAGTTTGAATTTTCTGTTTATGATGTAAGCTTGGAATGTGCATTTCTTGTTTGTGAGTTCATTCAGAAAGGTTTTGATATGTTTAATGAGTATTGCATGATATTTTGATGAGAAATTATACTGACCACTTCGTTATTTCTTACCTTGTCCAATGGTCCATTAAATCTGCTTGAGCATAAAAAAAGTGCTACATATTGTCCATCTAACAGTTTTTAAGGTTTTTATGGACTAAAATACTTTTCAAAGTTAGCTGCAACTGTGAAAGTGGCGTAAAGATCTGTTTTTGGATTATTATAACCCAAAGAAGGAGTCTTTACACCATTTTCATGGCTAAAGTTCATGGCAGTCTTCTGTATCATACTTTCAGCATTTTGGTAATATGTGTATGAAACTTTCAAAATATTTTGTAATTTTTTGTTGAGAAACATCATTCTCAAATTAAGCATTGATTAGAATTTTACATGGCCAAGCAACACTGAATTAAAATACCCTTCTGATATGTTCAAAATTGTGAAACTTTCCAGTTTTAACAAATATCTTTCACATCTTATGCCATTTCTAGATTTTTTGGTGAAGTGCTGCTGTACTCTTGAGAATCCTGTTGGAGGAGTGTTTAAATTGGGCAAAGAAATCAGGACCACTGACAAAACGCCACTGATTACGTTCACTTTCTGATATCCATTTTTTCCTATTTTAGTGAATGAATTCAGTGTCAGTGTTTGAAACTCACATTTGAGTTTCAGGAGCCATACGGCCCATTCAGCTCAATTTTTAGGAGTCATTGAAGATTTTTTAGGAGCCAGATTTGATTTTTTGCTTGGATATCACTTCGCATTTAGTGAAAAGTTAGACTCAAGATGTTTTAGGTACAGAACTATTAGCTGTAACTTGTAACTTTCGAAAAATCACCGTACAGAAAAATTAAGATTTTGGGGGGGGGGTCAAATTTTAGGGGCCACGTTAGCGCAGAGCCTTCATTTTTTAGGTGCGTTGGCGCAAATGAGTTTCGAACACTGTTCAGTGTTGAGTAATGTTGTTTTTTCTTTCCATCTGCAGGTAATAAGAGACTGTCTGAAAACGCATCTAAAGCTAATCTGAAGAAAACGAAAAAGAAAGTGCGGACAAACAGCTCATCTGAAATGAATACTTCTCAGATGATAAATGATTTTTTGTCCAAAAACTCGAGTTTGAAACAGAAGAAAAATGATGCAAACGTACCCGTCTTGAGGTTTGCCATTGCTAACGGCCGTGTGGAAGCTGCAGGAGAGCAGAAGACTGTTTTTTCTACTAGTTTAATTAAAGATATGAAGACTGTTAAACCAGAACCTACCGTCACATCGAATTTGACCTGTAGGTATCAAATTTTCATTGCTCTCTTATGATGCATGTTTTTTTTGTTTTTTTTACATTTTTAGTATTTTTTCACCGTTTTTTCTCCTCCATCTTTTCGAACATTTTGTGTTAAATCAACTACGTGCAGTTGCTCTTTCTCTAAATTTTCTTCTCCCTATGACTAATTATTTTAAATTCTCCAACTAAAGTGTAAGATGTACACCAGCTTTATGTCTTTTTTCCTTCTGAGCTTTGTTCGTTTTTAATAGGAAAATCATTCAGTAGAGAAGATTTTTCTTTAGAGAAGGGTTGCAGAGAATTGAATCAGTGAGAACGAAAACACACTAACTCGAAAAAATGAAAATAGTCAAGACACACACAAAACTGCACAGTAGATGAAGAAATTAGTCTGAGAAAAAGATTTTTGGTGCCGAAGAACAAGTACTTACGAACATCTTAAAGGTCCAAGTTGGAACAGAGTAACCAATACCTTTCTTATACCCTTTATACTTCAATAACCTTTATAAAAATTGACCGTCTTTAATGAAAGTTGCGCATTGTCGAGTTACCAAGTTGGTGTGTTTTCGATCTCACTGATTCAATTATGCTGACTTGATCAAGAGCATTGTAAGTCAACCAAGGTATTCTAATCTCTCTGCATGCACTTGGTTAGGAGCAAGGAAATTTTAGGATGAATCTTAAAATTTTTTAGAACAATTTCCACAAATAGGTGTCAAGGAAATCAACCTTTTAAGGTTGTAAGGCAGTACAATGGGTCCTCAATTAAGACTTTTGAAGGTCTTAATTTCTAGCGATAGGGTTACAGTAATGCAATTTCGTGGATAGATTATTAATATATCGTCTGTACTGCTAAGTAGTGTGTATATGATGCTGGATAGTGCTCTTCTATTCCGTTTCGCCCAATTGAAGTGGACATTGTCAAATTTTGCCTCCAATTTTTGGAATTCTTTGCGATAGCTGAATAACAAAGAGGAGCATTACACTAGCAAACTGTTCTTTAAACTCATTAAGTCTAAAAGTTGGACTCATGATTTTTTTTTTTTTTTTTTTTTTTTTTTTTTTTTTAAATTTTTAAGTGAGTGAGCCTTAAGAGAAGAAGGAGGAAAATAAGACACAAAGATAATTTCTTGATTCCCTCAATCAAATGGCGCAGGAAGATGAGTTTCTGTGACCATGATTATTTTGCATGTGGAAATATGAATACATTTCTTCATTTTTTTCAAGCAGTAGTGCCCACTTTCAATTTTTGTCATCTCAAATGGCTCTCAAGTTCCTGAATTTCGAATCTTCCATGAGATTTATCATTCAATTTAGGCAGAACTACAACCTGACCCTTATGGCATTAAGTGAAAACAAGATGTATTTATGCTTTCCTCCTGCCTATGATTACAGCAACTAGCGTACCGAGTGTATCCATGGAGCAAAGTTCAAATGGCACTGATAGTATTGGTTCTCAACAAATAACATATTTAACTGCTAGCCCAGTAACTTTTCAGCAGATTTCTCTAAGGGTAAGGAATTCATAGCTTTTATTTTATTGGTAGCGTTTCACTTCTGATAATCTGATATATTTATGATGGACCAAGAACATGTTGAAAAGACAGGTAGTAAAAACTGTTTTAGTGAATAATTCCTTGAGAGCTCTGTCAAAAAATTAATTCATCTCTGGATGAAACTTGAAGGGAGTTTATTGTAAATTTCAGAAATGTTTGTTTATCAATATCTGATGCAATACAAATTGGTTTTTAGCAGATGAATCAATAAACTAAGTAGGTAGGTGCTGTATAAATCCTACAAAAAAATAAGTCAAATAAATGTTGAAAACAAACAATAAATGAATGTATGAACTGAAAACAATGAAACACATTAAAATTAGAAAGGCCGTGGAACATCTAACTGAAGAAAAAAAAAATAATAATATAAAGTTAGTAAAAAAAAAAAATTATAATGGAATGAGGGAAAAACAGTTAAGGAAGTAAATGAGTAGTAAATAGGGAGTATGAGAGAGAGAGAGCAAGGTAGCAAGCAACAGCATAATAAGATCTTACTGTTGCGAAGTCGCAGAGATCACTGGATTGACCTGAGTGAATCGTTGCATAATTACAGAAGGCGGTGGCAAGGCAGCATTCTTCAGATTCAGTTGCAGAAGTGCACTTTGGTCTATCAGTCAATGAGAGAAAGGCTTTAAGAAAGTGTGGACATGCCATATGCCTACATGACCCAACTTTGTGTAGCACATTTGCATTTGTTTTCTGTGACATTAAATTTTTATTCCACCGCTTGCTTCTACCTTTTGCATTTTCTTTATGCAAGCAAATGATCATATCCATGTCTTAAGTGTTTGCGACGTTTTAGACTTCCAGTCATACTTCATTTTTTCCTGGAGAGACAAGTCAAAGTAATTTCTTGAAAACCTTCTTGATTTTTTTTCTACGTTATAATAGAGTATTCTATGTAGATTTCAAGCTACAAAGTTCACTTGTTCCTCTTCGAAAAAATGAACTAGGCGCAGAGATTTTGAAACACCGCAATAGAGATGTGTGGTGTCGCTCTTAAGCCATGCGCAAACGGGGGCAAGCAAATGGGAGTACAGGGGCTCCGTGTGAGGTAGAGGAGTTCTGCTAAGCGCATGATGGGAGAGGATGGGAAGAGGTCACTCCACGTAAGTGTCATAGCGATGGAAGGTGGAGCTTGGATTGCGAAGTGGGACAGGTTGTGGACTGCTCATGCATTATTTTAAACACTTGTGATTTCATACAAAGGAGGATAATTAAACCACCTTCACAAAATAATTTAAATTTTCCTCTTTTTTTCCAGATGTTAAACCAGTTACAGGGCAAATCTCAGGCTCCAACCAACAACGGTATGGTTAAGATCGTGGCAAACCCTGCGGGTGGCACACTGGTTAAAGTGCCTCAGAGCCTCATATTCCAGGACCAAAACTCCTCGGGGTAACGTATCGGCTATTCCATACTGTTGTTTACAGTCTGTAGTATTTCTCTATAAGCGACAGAATCAAATGGGAGGTAAGATGCTTTTGCCTCCTTCTTGAAGTTGTTCCCTACTAATGAAAGTTGCCTTGCCCACCAATCATCACTTCCCCTCTGTGGTTAAAAAAAATAAAAATCAAGTGATGATTTGGGAGCCTTGCAATGAGACCGTAAATCTCTTTCTTCAAAGAATTTGCGGCTGTCCCTCTAATGGTTGGCACGTCTATTTCAGAATGTGGAAAGTTGTTTTGTATGTAGTTGCCAATAAGAGGTATTTTAATTTCTCATGACCTTATTCCTATTCTAAATTGTTATATTTCAATTTGTTTTACTTCCCTGACAAAGGGACTCTTAGAAGAGAATTATGTGATCATGTTGTAAGTCAGTATCTTAAGGATCTTCGTTGAGCCAAGAAAGTTATTGATGAAAAATTTCCTCCCCGTCTTATGTTTTCTTCTTTTTTCCTAGCACAAATTTAGGCATATTTTTCACAGCCTGTTTTATTGTGCTAATTTTTCCCCCTCTTCCCTCTCTTTTGAACCGATAGCTTAACGTTTTCTAGTCATATTTATTTGCTTGAATTTCCAGCTCTTTTTACCTTTTGTAAGTAGGAACGTAGGTTCAGTTTCTCTTTCCCATGTACCCCCTCTCCTTTTTTCCTAGATCATTCGGGTAATTAGTTTTGAGTTGTAAAGAAATCGTATATTCCTCTGTCTTTTTTATTTTTAAACAGAGGAAACTATGGACATGATTGAATCACTTCCTCAGTATTTTGTGTAAGTGTGCTGTAGATTTTGGGTAGTAAAAAGAATGCCCTTACTTCTAATTTCCACTGTATCACTAAGTTGTTTACAGTAACTAAATCCTATCAACCAAACACTTTTAATTGTGGTTTTTAATCAACAGGATGTGATGAATTTACCAACCATCCAAGGTTGGCATCTTCCGTCTGTCTATTTTATCTTATCTTTGATTGATGAAACAACAAATATATGTATAATTCTTAAATATAACAAGAATAATAATTTGTAAAATAATTGAAACATAGACTGAATTTTTATGATTGGAGTCACATCATAAGGTTTCGTGATTTTTAATGGACCCTAAGCTCTATGATAAATGTTGGTGTTGCCTTAACGCAATCATATTTTTAGTGATTTTGCTCAGTCAGATTGTAGTGCTAAATTATTCCTCTCAGCTTTTTAATCGTATCTTATCCGTTTATCTCGGTGTTCCGTCTGTCATTAATAACCTCCAGCTGTAGTCAAAGATGCTTTATTCTCCAATGAGAAAACTAGTGGTAGGATACGTGTAAACATTTTAAAGCTGAGATTTTGTTTGTCAACCTATTGCGACTGTAGGGGACAATGGTGGCCAGACACCATGCTCATTACTGCATTTCATATGCATTTAATATTTAGATAAAATTCTGTAGTTATATTGTATTGTGTAAGTGTGATTAACCTGTTTGATTGTATGCACTTTGTTGAATACAATGCATTTGTCTCCCTAAGTTTTACGGAGTGCAGCCGGGTGTCTTGAAATGTCTATTCTTTTCAGAGTGCCAAAGGGTCGGATGCCTTATGGCACAGCTGTTAACCAACCTGACATCAAGGTGTCTACAGACTGAAAACCTAGAAAATGATAGAATTTCATGTAAAAGACTGGAATCTTTTCCTCTTTCTTGATTGCTCTCTGTCTTGTTTGTGTTTTACAAACTTAGAACATCATAATTAGAAACACTCAAATTATAGTTTCCTCCCTTAAATTCTCCAAACTAAAATCAAGTTGAAAACATTAAGGTCAGCTCTTAAACCTATTGACTTAAATTTACAAGCTCATTTTGCTTTTTGAGTCTGATGAACTTGCAGGGCAGAATGGAAACTGAAACAAATTCTGAGACTTGGCCCGTTTTTGTATGCATTTTCGATCATTTTCTGGTCAATAGCATTATATATCACCTCTTTTATAAGGTGTATGATCAACTCTAGGCTATTTTACTCGTCATATTTTTGCTTTAATGTGATATTTCAGTTTTAATGCTCCCATATTACATACTCGGCAGATATTTTCCATGATTTGGATGATTTTCCGACTCATGTAATTTTTAACAGAAATCTGTGAACATTAAAAACTTTTCAAAAGTTCTATTAGATTGTATTACATAATGAGTGTTAATCCCAGTTATTAGCAGTGGTAGATGAGTGTTGCGCCCACTTATAGATCTCGAAGATGTTGGTTTATATCAAATATAAATCGAGTCATGCAAAAAGGGCGGAAGTTCAAAGACTCATCAGCCATGGCTTTCATCTTCAATAAATTCGAGCATGGCTCATTTATATCTGATTCCCGCCTTTTTCGCCATGCTGGTCAGTATGAACAACAAAAGCGATTGTCCATCAGTTCTTGGAACTCTGCCTTTTTCGCAGGACTTGAATTATGCACCATTAAATCTGAGCACATGTGGATTGCAAAATAGGGAAGAAATAGGTTTCATTAATCTTTTTTATTTATATGCATGGCTCAGCAGTTCCTACAGAAAAAGAAACAGGAAGTGTTGGTCGTTTTGGTCAGGGGAGACGTACAAGAGTGAAGGAAATTTTTCCCTTCAATCTGTAGACACCCTGGTTACTTGGTTTTGCTAGTTCATATTGTTGTAACAACTTTAGACACCCTGCTCCAGATCAGTATAGTTGCTATAGTTTTCATAATGTCAAGAATGATTTTAAAAAAAGTCTGCTTAATTCCTTGCTCTAAATTTTTCACACTAGATTTTAACAAGATGGATTTCATTCTTGTTTTACCAAACGCCTTTATTGTAAGAAAGAAAACTCAAGGGCTTATGAATTACCTAACTTGTTAACGTGTCCCAATTTTATAAATTTGATCGTTTTTTAAAGTAAGCTCATAAAAACTTGTCGTCCTTATACACATGTTGCATGTTTAAAAAAGAAGTTTAATGTCAACCTTTAATTATGTCCACATCATTTTATAAAATTTCATTGTAAATAACAAAAATTAATATCATTTTCAAAAGTTTTCATAGAGAATTCAGAATTTGTGTTTCTGTGAAAATAATTATGCTTCTGGGCAAAAATTGCAAAATTTCTATGGAATGTTTTGATGAAGACTTTCCTGACCACTTTTTTCGGTCTGAAAGTAAAATTTAGAGACACAAGTGAGGAAGGTTTGACTAGCAATGAGTCCATAGGACAAAACTCGCCAAGGAGTAAAAAGACAATACTTATGTATACAATATATACTTATTATCTTTTCGACTACCCTGGTATCACATTAAAAAATTTGTCTCAGACGTAATCTAACATCTTCCCCCTAGAAATAAATATAGAATACAAAATGAACCAATCAGTAAGGAAATAATCTTTCCAACAATTCCAATAATGATTTCCCCAGTTAATGTTTATTGTTGATTCTAATGCTCTATTCCTGCGTGCTAGTTAACTTCCTAGCTGCTTTTTAAAAAAAATTGCAAATCAATAAGCCAATAATCTTAATGTAAGTTGTAGTAGCTTAATAGCCAATAGCATGTACCATGCCTATAATGTTCTTTAAAGCCTGCCTAAGGTTTTGGCATAGGTAATAGGTGCTTTGTATAATTAGAAGATGGATTGAGCCACATGTCTGGCCTATGCTTAACAAAATGTTACATTGTTGCAGAGTATTACAATAATTTCTAGAAAATATCCCTGAAAAATATATTACAAACTAGATTGAAGTCTTTCCTGTGCCCATTCGTATTAAATTCTAAATTTTTTTTTATAATATAAATTTCTAAGTGTTGATGTCTGTTCTGGTTCTCTAAAGTGTATCAGACATTCAAAAATCTGAAACTTCTCTATGTAAAATCCCTTGTAATCATTTGTCTCCTGAATTATTGAAATTTGCTAAAAGCAAAACTCATCTTTAGTTCAAGCCTTTGGTTTTAATATCTTTGAAGTGAGCTCTTGTAAATGAAATTAAATGCTGTTGAATCTGGGCTGTTTTTAAGTATGAACTTGGTCGCAACTTCATTTAAAATTTGAGATTTTTTTTTTTATTTCCTTGTTATCCCGAAGGTTGTGCTAGATTTTTATGAGTGTTTTAATTTATTCACGTTACTTTTTCTTCGATTCATTATTTTATTATCCAAATATCATGTTATGTTGCATTGTTTCCTAAGTCATTGTGTATTGTGATTCCTAGCACATGATCAATTTTGTAAATATTCTTCACGAATACAATTTTTAGGTCAATGTCCAATGTTTCATAGCATTTCATTGGAAGTACGTCCATTTTATTTAGTATTTACTCGAGTCTAATGTCGCTTCAGACTCAGAAAAATTAGGCAAGTCTGCATCTCTGTAATCTCATCTGTGAAGTTGGATAATTTTTTAGGGCTCCTGACGCACTGTTGTCCGGGAGCAATTATTGAATACATTATACATAGTTAATCAAACCAGAAATACCTATTCAGCAATTTTGAACTTTGCCGAATGAGTAGCCTTCAACTAATATGATTGGTTTTTTTTTTCTTCCTTTTTTTTACCTCCTATTTTATTCTGTATTGAGTCAATCCCTTCACATTTATACATAGACTGTCCCGAAATTCTTTAGAAGGATAATTTGTATGTTTACAAATCATTTTCCCAAATTTGTCACACATGACAAAATTGTATCAAAAGATGTCTCTAACTTGCCTACGTTTTTTAACTTATATATGTATATCTGTGTTCGTGATTGCCTGAACATTTCTATCAGGATTCGGAAGATTCTCTGCAGATTTTATTGTTTGAGGCTTTATAGCTAACAATCAGACTGGTCGATTTTTAACTTACTCTTCTGTCTTTTTATGAAAAATGTTCTGATGATTGAGATAATCTTTTTCTTCATTGTATCATTGAATCCGCTGAAAAAATTCACAGATTTCATTATTTTTATTAAAATCAAGGAGCTCTCAGTCCAAGGAATTCATTTTTCCATTTAATTATTGAGCTTCTTTGACATGGGCAAACTGCCACCCAACAGTAGGGGAACTTAAGATTAACCTCACATTTGGTTTCATTGAATCAGCATCAGCTGTAGCTTGTAAAGCTGTAACTTGTCTGCCAAACTGCTTCCATGTGCTCTATTTTAACACAAGTTATGATGGTGCAATTTTCCTACTTCATAACTAAAAACCCTTTCTCTATCGATTTTTTTATTTTTTTTCGTGGTCATTATCCTTAAATCTGAAGAGTTTGAATGAAAAGCATACGGCTTGTTACTGAGCACTGTTGCTTGCTTAATCTGTATTTTCTAAGTAAAGAATTCCTTAAAACAATTGTCAGCAGATGAGGAAATACCGTCTACAGTCTGTTATGTATTTTTTTCTAAGTTTCTCAATGCTACATATTAAGCCTTCATTTTAATGATATCCTCCTGTAATATGGAGTTGTTTGCATGTACGTTACTATCTTCGCAACCAATCGGAATCATAGAATTTATATTTTTGTCTCTTGGTGAATCATCGGATGGTCTGATCAAGTGTATTATATCTAAATCATGAATAGCTCCTCTATGGTTTTTTCATACTTTATGTGTTCCAAAAGTTTGTTACGCTGTTATATTCTTATTTGTTAAATTCTTTGATTTACTAAAAAAAATTACTAATGGACCCCATTTTTTTTACCGTGACCGGAAAATAGGTTATCCAATCATTAAAATCTTACAGTCAGCTTTTCAAATTTTTTTTTTGTCTTCTTTTTTTTTTAGTTGTGTCCAAGTTTAAATTAAACAGAAAGAGGAAGAAAATTTCCGAAAGGTGTCAATGAGGTGAAAAAAAGTTCATATTTAAAGTGATGACTGTTTCAGAAATTCCAATGAATAGGAGGCAAGTCTTAGTTTTATGACTGACTGAATTAAGTAATATGTTGGCTCAGCATGACTTTTCATGTATAAATATTTACCCAACACATCTCATGGAAATGTCTAATGACTGAAGTTCACTCTGGATTTTCAACAAATTAGGGCTTTGAAATTCTTGGACATAATACTTGAATTGTAAACCCATATTCAGCCTTTCAAAAGGAGTCTACACATAATTAAGAAACCTATTCCCTCCATTTTCATTTTTACTCAGTTTAATCTTTATTTGTTTCTTATTCACTCGATCAAAGTGATTCTCCTCAGCAACTTGGTGTGAAGTCGATTTGGCATCTGTACCAATTTACCAAAATCCTCAGGTAAAATTAAAAATGTGTGAAATTTTGAAATTTCTTGGGAATGCCAAACAAACCTTTCAGATCATTTTATTGTAGGTTCCCATCAGAAACACGTTATTGACTGTTTTCATCTTTTGAACTAGCGGTATGCAGGTAAATGCTTCTTATTATCCCCATTTAGCTCTTTCGTAACCTTCATTGTGATACTATTGTATTTTATTCTCTTTCAGCTTGTTGAATCATATATCAAGTGAATGTATTTTTTTCTTTCTAATGTAATTTTTTTTTTATTATCGAATACAATACATGTCCTAATTTTTGACTTTACTCGTTGTTTCATCAATGGTTAAATTCCTCTCCTCGCGAGAGTAGGTCTCCTCAATTTTTTAGGTGAAGAAATAGTAGATCATACCTACACATTTTCCCTCAAGGCTAAACAGAATCCTAAATTTTAATGTTAAAAGTATTCACTAAGGAAGAAATTAACTTTTCGGAGTAAATACTTGGAAGGTCAGGATCTAGTCCTACATGAAGAAGATATTAGTTAATTTTAAAGAGGAAAACATGTATCACTCTATTTCAACAAGTTAATATTAATATGACATTAAGTTTTAAATGAAAATGCATTGTAAAAAATCAATAATCCATCAGGATGAAATTAACATTTACTTTGATATATAAGGCGAATAACATTCTTTTGATATCAAGAAAAACTGTGTAAAAATTACTGTCAGTCTCACGGCTTACGAGCAGTTGAAATTTTTGTTGCAAGGCCAAAAACTGAATTCAGAAGTTCAATTTTTCAGCACTAGGAGAAATAAGTTCGGTTTAAAATCAACTATATCTCAATTTCGGGAAGCCCCCAAGCCCCGCTCTCCTCCCATTTCCTAATACCTTGAAGCCCAATTCATGTTAACGAACTTTTCATTCAACTCTTGGATGCAACTTGCCGAATGAAAAGTTGAATAGTGTGATACTGACGAGAGAAAGCGATAACTTGATGAAAAATTGAACAGCAACTTGAATGTGACGTCACATTCAACTTTTCGTTCAACTTCCCATTGGATGGAACAAAATCTTCCGACCGACATGAGCCGAAGCTGTATCTTCGTGAACCGCAGACTGATGATATCACACTACAATGATGATTGTATCAAATTTTCTCGCATCCAACTTTTCGTTCTATTACGTCAGATGAATAGTTTGATAGTGTGAATTGGGCTTGGTGAAACTTCTTACAAATTAAGTGTAATTACAGTAATTTTAGAGTGCCTATTCAAGTTTAATACTGAGGTAGCGTCCCGGTTTGGTTTTTCGGCTTTCCCGTGCCGCTACTGCAGTTTCGACCAATAAGGCCGTAGTTTAAGGGCGCTAAAGCCAGGGTTGTATTTCGCAAATGGATTATTTTTGCAGAATAATTAAAAATTAAAGAGCAAGAGTAATTTAACTAAATAATAAAAGGAACTCAAATATACGATATAGTGCAAAACAATTTGGAAAATCTCGTGACGTAAATACGTAAGATTCGTAAACGCCTTCAATTGAAGCGTGATACCTCACGCGTTCCGGAGAGTTCAAATAGTTGTATCCCTGCGCCTTAGCAAGGCGATGGAAGTTTAATATTGAAGTAGCGTCCTCGCGTTGTTTTTCGGTTTTCCTGTGCCGCTACTATGGTTTCAACCGTTAAGGGCCTTAACTTAAGGCCGTAGTTTAAGGGCGCTAAAGCCAGGACTGTGATACGCAAAAAGATAATTTTTGCATAATAATTGAAAATTAAGAAGCAGGAATAATTTAACTAAATAATAAAAGGAACTCAAATCTACAATACAATGCAAAAAACTAACGTAGTTTAAGGGCGCGAAAGCCAGGATTGTATTTCGCAAAAAGAAAATTTTACCAGAATAATTAAAAATTAAGAAGCAGGGATAATTTAACTAAATAATAAAAGGAACTCAAATATACAATATAATGCAAAACAATTTGGAAAATCTCGTCTTGTAAATCCAGAAAATTCGAAAACGCCTTCAATTGAGGCGTGATACCTCACGCGTTCCGGGGAGTTCAAATAGTTGTATCCCTGCGCCTTAGCAAGGCGATGGAAGTTTAATATTGAAGTAGCGTCCCGGTTTGGTTTTTCGGCTTTCCTATGCCGCTACTGGAGTTTTCGACCGTTAAGGCCGGAGTTTAAGGGCGCTAAAGCCGAGATTGTACTTGAAATAGGATAATTTTTGTAGAATAATTAAAAATTAAGAAGCAGGAATAATATTACTATATAATATAAGGAGCTCAAATCTACAATATAAAGCAAAACAATTTGGAAAATCTCGTCATGAAAATCCGGAAGATTCGAAAACGCCTTCAAATGAGGCGTCATACTTCACGCGTTCCGGAGAGTTCAAATAGTTGTATCCCAGCGCCTTACCAAGACAATGGAAGCTTCATATTAAAATAGCGTCCCCGCGTTGTTTTTCGGTTTTCCTGTGCCGCTACTGTAGTTTTGACCCTTAAGGCCGTAGTTTAAGGGCGCGAAAGCCAGGATTGTATTTCGCAAAAAGAAAATTTTACTAGAATAATTAAAAATTAAGAAACAGGAATAATTGAACTAAATACTAACAGGAACTCAAATCTACAATATGATGCAAAAAAATTTGGAAAATCTCGTCATGTAAACACAGAAGATTCGAAATCGCCTTCAATTGAATTCAACATTTCACAGTCAGCGTGGTGCATTTTGGTATTTTACATCTCCTTCTTAGGTACTCAATACAATCTGACGGTGAAACCCTTAAAGCACATATTGATTACATTTTGCAATTTGGAACCACTATTTGTGGCCCATTTTAGAAACATCATACATGCCATTGGTTTCCCTATGCAGATATGTGCTTTATTCATAGGAAAGCCAGAGATAGTGGTTCCTTATTGCAAAATGTAATCCATATCTCTGTCTGCGACGTTGCAGACTTTCAGTCATACTTCATTTTTTGAATAGGAAAGTACTCAACGTCAATTCTTTAAAACTTCCGTGGTTTTTCTTCTCTGTAAGAGAAAGTTCTGTAAATACTTTAAGGCTCCGGCAAAGAAATGAAGTAGCAGCGGAGGTTTTATAACGAGGTATGTGGTTTTGGGAGTTTCACCGCGTCTAATGGGAGTTATTACCTAATGTAGGCTTTTACCATTGAGAAAGAAAAAAAGAAAAACGTAAAAAGCAAAAATAACAAAAATGCTTCCACCTCGGCTCATTAGCATTCTACAAAGTTTCAATAAGTAAAGAAAACAACGATTGACTGCTGCTACTGCTTGAATATGAGTGCTCATAGAGAAAAAAAGGAGGTGTTTGCATTTCGGGCATCTTGAAATTTTTTTGATGACGTAAATCGGCACAGCGACTTTCATCGTCGATTTTCTTGGAAATTGTGTAATTTATGGAAAAAAGTCATTCCATAAAAAGTGCTTTAAATTATATCTTGAGTTGATTTAAGCAAAAAAAATAGGACGCTATGGTCCATTTTTCATACTTCGAATTCCGGATTTCGCTTGCCAGGTTGTACCGATCTTCATCACAGGGTAAACAAACCTCAAGATGCAAAAACCTCCCTTTTTTTGCTCTATGGGCCAGGGCAGCACCGGGGGAACAGTTGCTCCCCCCTCCCCATCTCCCATCCCCCGCCCCCCTCCAGAAAATTTGTGATCTCATGTAGTTCCCAATGGGTACGGTTTAACCCGCAAACCCCACAATCTAGCCCGTATCGAAATGTTTCTAACTACCTACGCTTAAGATAGCAAAACTACGACAACAAGGATCCCGATTGCTGCGTTCCAATATTTCATGAAAGAATGAAAATAAGAGAGACCAAGCAAGTTTAATGCGATTACGTTTAAAAAGGATGTTTATACGTTAAAAAATGCAACGTGAACGCAAGAACAAGGTATCCAATGAGCGAGACGCGTGTAAATCCTAGCAGCACCCTTTTATGGAGAAGTGCTTTGTTGCATGATCAATTGCCTAAGGTCAAATTGCAGGAGTTAACGATGATCGCGCAGACTCTCGTAACTTTTTTATATATTGCGTATTGCGTTTAAAAATCAAAGAGTAAAAATACCGCCACCTAATAAAGTTAGTGTATCTATATAATGAGTTCCGAAAGTTGCAGATTATATGGAAAATTAAGAAGAGAGGTGCATAATCAAAAGGAGAGAAAATGTTTCTCTCAAAATGACAAAATTGTAAATGTTCTCAGGTGCGTATCTAAGTTTTCCAATTGAAGATTTCCAGATTCCAATGGAAGTTATTGTGTCTGCAACAGATTTGCCGACAGAGGCCGTCTGATCTATTATATGAGGGAATGGGGTATGATACCACTATTCGACCATAAGCTTGTGTTGTTTCTTTTTAAAAAATGATGGTGATAACCGCTATCGCGTTAATGTTACCTTTTCCCTTTCTTCAGTTAATTGCTATTTCTATAATGTTGGAATACTGCGTGAAGGTGACATTTCACGACTATATACCACTATTCAACCATGTGGAAGCTCCTATAGCCTAAACTGAGTTTGAAGTGGAACTGGCATGGCGTTACTGTAATCTTTTCTCGTTCGGTAAAAAGTTATTTTATGAGTAAATTCCGAGTAAGCATGCAATTTCACAATAATACCATCATTCCACTTCTCTCTTGTTTCTCTCGTTGCTTCTCCCTCGTTTCTTCTATCTCTTTTCTCCTTCCTCTTTTTCTTATCTCCTTTCTTTTTCTCATTTCTTCTTCTCTTTTTCTTGTATTTCATCTTATTTTCTTCTTGTTCTTCCTCTTCATTCTCTTCCTTTTTTTATTCTCTTTTCGTCATCTTCTCCTCCCCCCTCTCTCTTCACCCTTCTTTTTTATCTTCTTCAAACTCTGTTTTATTCTCTATTCGCATCTTCTTATTCTCACTCTTTTCTTCTTCTTTCTCTTTCTCTCTTCTTCCTTTTTTGTTCTCCTCATTTCTTTCTTCCTCTTCTTCTTCCTCTTTTGCTCTTCTTCTTCCTCTTTAATCCCTCTTCTTCCTATGTCATTCTTTTTCTTCATTCTCTCTTTTCCTGCCTCCTTCTCTCTTCTTTTCTTCTCTATTTCCTTTTATTTTTCGTTTCCATTCTCTTATTTTCTTCTTCTTCTTCTTCTTCTCTTTTTATCTTCTTCTTCGCAAACGAGGGAAAAAACAGTTTGGTTTTGGTGATCGAGGGTAAACTACCACATCTGTTTAAAAAACAGTTCATTGGAAAACAGCGTGAAAGGAGCACTTTATTTGTTAAACATTTACAGGTAAACAGTAAATGCGCTCGAACCCAAAGT